TAGTCCAGTACGTAGTGTCCACGCCTTGTAGTGCCCAATCCTCTGGGTCGGCCGTGAAGCAGGGCCAGTTGGAGTCCAACACATCAGGCGCAAAGGCGCACGCTGTGGATAGGTCGCAGTTTTCGGAGCCAAAGTTTGGCGAGTTGAATGACAGCGGGAACTGTGACATGTCGACGTTGCCACTGGGCGTGGTGCTGTTGGACGCTATCATGCTCGCTGTGGAGGCGGGCGGCGTGGGACCGGGGTTGATGTTCACCGTACCCAGGAACGGGACGTTGAGGTGGACGTTTTCTCCGCTCGTGCCTGATTGTCTCTGCACGATGGGCAGAAGCTGCCGAATTGTTTCCGCCGCCTCAATGCAGAGCCGGTCGTTGTTTAGCGCACCCATTTCCTGCATCGTTTCTTGCGTCTTTTCGGCGAGGTCTCTGTCGTGCTCTTTTTCTGTCTCGTAGCCTGGCCAGCGCCACCCGAGGTATCCTAGCAGGAGTGTCATGGCTGCCACGAGGGCGGAGTAATCAACGTGACGGCCTGATACGGATGTTGTAAAGCAATTGCGGTATTCGAGGAATCGGTCGAGCACGTCGCGACTTGCTTGCATGCATGTTGCGCGGTTGTACTCGTATCGTCGTTGGCCGCGATCGCGAAGAAGATAGGGCAGATGAAGAAGAATGAGTAGCGAAAAGTGTCGGATTTGAAGCTTTATCACGCTCATTCCGTCGCCTGACGCGTCGGATGTACCGCAGCATATGGCCATGTCGGGTAATTTCCACCACAGACCATCATCCATCATCTTGTACGCCTTTTCAAGCTCCATGTCGATGGACTGCGTGAGGACATATGCCTCGCTGCCCTTGAGCTCATTCCTGTCCGCGATCTTGCCCGCCATCATGGCGTACACTTTGCCAAGCTTGTCGCTCGGTGCATCCGACACGAGAGCATTGTCTTCTGCGAAACTATTATCGCGCGAACCAATTGGCAGCCCGAGAATGAGGGAGACGTAGCGGTCGTTGCAGTTGATGCGGAACCAAATGACTGGTGGTGAGGGGCGATGCTTGTTGCTGAATGATGGATCTACGGATTTGATTGACTTGGCACTCTTGCGATCAATGCCCATGAGCTGCGCCATGTTTAGAGCGCGACGGCCTGTCAACCACGCTTTTCGCAAATGTCCTGCGTCGCTTTGGTAGAAGCTCTGTAAGATGAGACATTCGAGCCCTTCTAAGCATCCGACAAAGTCATCGTCTGACGTGACTAAACGTCCAGTAACAGCAACCCATTCCTCCATCGTCTCGCAGGGCGATTTACTCAACCCGAGGGTACTCCCATCAAAGAATGGAGGCATCTGCTGCACACAGACAGCAAGTTGTAGTAGACGCTTGGCAAGAATGGCAGGATGGCTTGTAACAGGCGGTATCTGCGCCAGTGACGATAAAGGCTCAGGTTTCCCATCAATCTGATCCTGCTGCGAGTAAAACATGGCCAGAACAAAACGCGCCCCGGGACTCTGCTGCGAAATGGCATACAGGATCTGCTGCGACGGGAAAAGCGCATGCAGCTGCGCAGAAACATGCGTCGCCTTTGCAGAGCGGCTTGGGAACTTGTGCGTCACGATCGCAGCGTCAGGCTGATCCAGAATCTGCTGCGCGTTATCCACGACCGACGACTCAAACACATCAGCCGTATGCTGCGTGAACCGCTCCAGCGCGGGATCTTCTGATTCAGGCGATGGCAGCGGCTTGTCCACCAACTTCTCCATCAGCTCCTCCAGACGGCCCAGGCGCTGCGCAAGACGCTTGTCTTGGGGCGCGGAGGGCGGCGTGGGGACATATTCCTGTGATACACAGCTTGTCTCGCGCTGTGTGCAGCCTATGCAGATTGGATCGTCTTCTTTTGAGAACTGGCATTTTATCTTACGGCGGCGGCCTGGGCATGTAAGCACCTTAGATTGTATGAGAGTGAAGGGGAGATTTACATTCCCAGCAGCTTCGTGTTCCCTTTCGAACTTTGCGGCGCTTGGCGGGTGGTTCGGACATGTTTTTTGAGAGTTATTCGGCCGAAGAGGAGTGAGAATGTGAATATGAAGGGGGTTGATGAGTGAGAGTTGGTGAGGATGTATACGGACGAAATACGGACGAAGGCCGGACGAAGTGGTGAGATTTTGTGGGGTGCTGTGGGAGGATTAGCCCGGCTTATGGTGTCGGCGGCCGGACGGGGGAAGTGTATTTGTAATGCAGATTGAGTGAACAAAGAGAGGCATTGCTGGTGTTTTGTTGTATTTTATCTGGTATGTATTGATGTCGATCTGTTATTTAATCTTGGGAGGGAAGTTAGGGAAGTTGGTGTTGATGAGATGCTGATTGCAGCGACGTGGTTCAATCTAATGGATGAGGACACGCTGATGATAGAACGCGATGACAATCTCAAAAGGCAGCATGCACTACTCATTGACTCAATTAATTATATTCGTCCTGCAGCTTTATGAGATTATTCTCAGACGGACTTAGTAGTCTCACTCAAGTCTAGATGAGGTCGCTGCTTGTTGACGTGCAGTATCCCCTCTGAATAGCTTCATTTTACAGTATCGTATCATCACAGCACACACGGCCTTTGAAGCGATAACTTACATGTACTCATGCCCAGATCAATTTTACGCATGAGCCAGCGTTATTGACAATGCTGCACAATCGGAAAAGCTCAGCGTCATGCCATGAAGTAAGTCGCGTCAAGTCGCAGTTAACAGGTATTGTATCTACCATCTCTCACTGAAGTCACACGTCATCATCGCTCCCATTAATTCTCCTTCGAGAGATGATAAGTATGGAGATTTAACAAGTAAGTGAGCTTGTAGCTTTCAATCTCGCGTTATATTGTCAAGAGGCTGGCGATTTGCGCGCGACAAGGGAAATGGTTATGGAGGGAGGTTTGTGAGAGGTGCATCAACCGCAAGCATTGATGAGTTTTGATGAGTTATGATGAGCTTAGGATAGGTTTTATGATCATTTTAGGATAAGCTTAGAATAATGTGTGTTCATGATCATTTAATGAGATTCGATGAACTAGGTTTTGGTGGCGATGAGTGCGCATTCATATGCTGTAAGTACTAGTTAGCTGCGCCGTCGTTTAACACGCTGAGTGATTACCCTACGCCCTGGGAAATAATGCCTTACCAGCCACACGACTCTTCTCAATCAACAGAGATAAATAGTATTCGTAAATAAAAGAAAATGAATTCAGGTACAAGATTGAGCTCTTAAGTGGTCACCGTGAATTCCTGGTCTTGATGTGAAACAAGCTTTTGTGCTGCAAAAGTGAGAGTACTGACAGCGGAGGTCTTGCTTTGCTAGAGGTAGTGACACTTGTCCAAGCTAGAACCCACTAGAAGAGCATTGTAGCATTTACTTGATCTGAGAAATCTTTTAGGAAAAATAGAAAGTCATCAACAAAGAGACATGTACACAGCCAGCGCAGAGAGTAGAGCAGTCTTCAATCGGTTTAGGTACATGTTGTTCAACACCGCATTCGCCCCACCACCCTTCAGCAGTAGGGCACACAAACTCAAACGCCAGTCATTCTTTGCATTCATGAGAACTTTGACTTGCAAAAAATTGCAGAGTGAGCCAAGCATGCCTGAGAAGAAATATCTCAATTGTTGTATTATGCAAAATGACTTGGCTGGTTGGCTTTGTCTCAGTCAGAGACCTTGCCACCTTGGCATCGCCAAATGTCTTGGGATAAGTCGGCCATACTGAGGCTCTCTACAGCTGGCAAGCGAACATAGCACTCTCCAATGGATCAGAAAGACTAAAGAACTCTTTTCAGAGCCTTTGGATTCATACAGAGGAGCGTTGGTGAGGACCATCGGAGGCTAACAGTGCCACTGTAAGCGGGGACCCTGGTCACACCGAGCGGCAAACGAAGGGTATATAGTTTGCAAATTAGCACCAGCTGTCGGGGGCGGTTCTGCCGCTCCCATATGGTCTATTGAAACGATACAGGTAATTATTCCAAAGCCCCCTCGTTCGACTCATCCTAACATCCACCTAGAGAAGATTAGCATGGCCCCTGCACTAAGGATGACACGCTCAATCAAAGAGAAGCTACCAATTTTTTTTGTCTTTCTTTTTCGTCTTTCGATATTTATTTAGTTGCAATATTCTTTTTTGCTGTTGAAGTGCGTTCTCGCGTGGCTGGTCATCGGTCATCGGTCATCTCGCGTCGCGTTGAACAAACATCCGAAGAGTGGGGCCGTGTTTAACCGGAGCAGGCCGGTGTATGCCGGTCTCATGGCTCTTCAAGCCGACACCTCCCTTCAGCCCTTCTAACCTGAAGTTTCCATCCCAGTGTTGCGTCCTAAACCTCAATCTGAAACTGATTCCTATTGACTGTGTTCATCGTCACTTGTTCGTCTTGTGACTCGACTTGATGTACTACTTACCGACCCCCGATTGTTAAGTTGGATGAACTTCCAGGCAGCAGCCGAAGGAGGGCCAGGAAGGTCAAGTCCAAGGGGCCCGAGAAAACAGTCATAGAAATGTGATGCAACTCATGAATAACAATCGTCTACTTTGAAAGGCTGCTTATTGCCAATTCTGCATTTGTAATTCGCGCGCGCTGCATGCTGAATAATGGCCGGTCTCAATTCCGTGGAACGCCGTGGACCGCAGATTCGGGCCACTTGTACGCTTATTACACAGAGACGCGCAGTTGCGGAACGCCATGGATACAATGAGTATGGCTTATCTTGGGGCTATCCCCTGCTGTTGAAAGCCCGTGGAGCATTAACTTTGACTCGGACTCTGCTTCTCGCATCGGACATGCACAAAATGGAGCACAGTCTGTCCGCAGCGCGGAGTTGCGTGCTTAGCTTTGTAATGATGCGGAATTGAGATGATGGCTCTCAGGATGTCGCTGTATATAAATGGCGACCGAAAGACGTCGCCATAGAGCTAATTCCATATACAACTTCAATTACATTCACTACTTCAATCACAATCGTCAAAATGCCTGCCCGCTACACCTCCAAAGACGTCAGTCCTGAGCCCTTGGCCCAAGAACTTCACCTCTACCCTTCTGGCCGAGTCGCAAAGAACAGGTTTCTTAAGTCGCCCATGGCTGAGTCGCTTGCGAGTTGGGATCCCGAGATCGTCTCCAAGAGAGGAATCCCGACCGACGAGCTGATTGAGCTGTACCGACGGTGAGTTCACCAGCGAGCGCCGATAGATGACCAGACTGACAGCCTTAGATGGGGTGAAGGCAAGAACAACTTTGGTATCGTTGTCACTGGCAATATAGACATTGATCTCACCTCCGTCGGCGCTGCTGCGTCTCCCGGAATCCCCGTCGATGCTCCATTTGAAGGCGAGCGCTTTGATAAGTTCAAGCAATTGGCCGCGGCAGCCAAAAAGGACGGTTCTCTGTTCCTCGCTCAGGTGAACCATCCCGGGCGACAAGTTCCCTACAAGTTCAACCCAGTCGCCATCTCAGCCTCTGACGTTCAACTCGGTGAGTCGCTCACTGCGCTTCATCTTACGTACTGACTGTTACAGACCCCAAGATGGGAATGACGTTTGGCAAGCCGCACGCCGCGACAAAAGAGGAAATCGCCCAGATCATCGAAGGTTTCGCCCACGCCGCCGAGTATCTCGAAAAAGCCGGGTTCGACGGCATCGAACTACACGCAGCTCACGGATACCTGCTCTCTCAATTCCTCTCCCGAACCACCAACAAGCGCACCGACGAATACGGCACTCAGACCGTCGAAAATAGACTCCGACTCATTTCCGAAATTGCAAACGCTATCAAGGCGCGCGTCTCACCGACCTTTATCGTCAGCGCAAAGCTCAACAGCGTAGAGTTCCAGGACGGCGGCGTGACACCCGATGAGGCAAGGGAGCTCTGCGAGAGACTTGAAGCACTGGGATTCGACTTTGTTGAGCTCAGCGGCGGGACTTATGAGCGCATGGCATTGTCGTGGGAGAAAGAGTCGACGAAGCAGCGCGAGGGTTTCTTCCTCGAGTGGGCCGAGACCATCACCAAAGCGCTTGACCCAGCGCATAAAATGAGGATCTTTATTGCTGGTGGGTTGAGAACGGTGGGCGCCATGGCAGACGCGCTTGACGTTGTGGATGGTGTTAGTATTGGACGGCCTGCGGCGGCAGAACCGCGTTTGGCTGGTGATATTATCGAGGGACGCGTCAAAGGCGCGATTCAACCGGCGGAGATGGTTGAGAATGATCTTGGGATGGGGATGGGCGTCGCTGGGGCTCAGTTTGCGCAGATTGCAAAGGGCTTTGAACCGCTTGACGCGAGTGACAGTGAAGTTGTGCAGACATTTGGCCAGGATATGGGCGCGTGGTATGAGAAGCTCGTGCAGGATGGGGACAAGAATGAGTTTGTTCGAGCCATTCAGTATTCGGGACCTCAAGTTCCATATGGCAAGGTCAAGGCTTGATGCATTATTGGTTGTTGATTGTGATTAGACATGTTGTTAGAGTGCAGGGTATTTACTACGAGTCATTGATTGCGTCTTCCTGAAACAAACTCATGTCATGTCATGGTGCTTTAACGGTTCTAAATTTAGGGCTGACGATCGACAGCTTGTGGAGGCTATGTGGAACCCTGCGCCCGGAGAATTTGTCAGCCATTCAACTTCACTTCATCTCACTACGCATCTGCAACAAAACTCTCAACATTACTCTTCATCAGTTATAAACGTCGTTATTGATCGTTGGAAATCACTTAACCAAATCTGCAGCTAAATATTTCCACAATTGCAGTCATGTCGACCGCTGAGACAGATCCAACACCGTCGAATCGTCGCAAAGGTCAGCAACTCGAATTATGATATAGACCCGGCTGACAAATGGCCCAGCATGCGACTTGTGCTTTACGAAAAAGATCAAATGTGACATGCTAAAGCCAGATTGCTCGAATTGCATTCTCTATAACACAAACTGCCGAACCAGCATCATTAGAAGGAAGCCTAATTCTGCAAGAGCCAGAGCAGGGGCTAAACAACAAGAAGAGTATGCCCCTATTTCTCGATTTCGCTGTTCAAATTAGTAACTTTTCAGGAACAATCGCCAAGAGGGTCTTGAAGCAAGATTGGCTCGTATTGAAGAACAGTTGCAAATCGTTCTCAACGCTGCCAAAGATGCTCAAACTGCCAGACCGCAAGGGCCAGATGACCAATCCAGCCCAAGTGACTCAGCGGAATCAGTTCTCAACAATTCAGCAAATTTCGAAGAGATGGCGAAAAGAGGCTTCGCTTGGAAATTCGATCCAGTTAATCCAGCAGTTTACCAAGGTCCCCAACCAAGCATTTTAGAATTGCCGCCCCTGGATGAGATTCTACCTATAGTAGATCACTACTTTACAACTTTCAACGCCGTCATTCCTCTCTTTCAGCAGCCAGAATTCATGAAGCTTCTCACGACATGGTATAAACAACCCGAAACTCGCGACAGAGCTTCGTGGGCTGCTATTCAAACCGTCATGGCCATTGGATATCGCACTCCACAGCTCTCACTACGAGACAGCCAATCAGTGCATATTGAAAGGGCAGATCAATGTCTGAGGAATGCACAGACTGTTGTATCGGAGCTTGTCACGCGTGATGAAGATTTACTCGGCGTTCAGATCTTACTAGGTATCGTGATGCTGTTCCAAAACAGTCGCGATCCAAAACCAGCAAGCGTTCTCATTGGAACAGCGGTTAGGTTGGCGCATAGACTCAAGTTACATTCGCAAGAAGCGGCGATGCAGTTTCCGGCTGCGGAGGCAGAGCAGAGATCGCGAGTGTTTTGGATTGCGTACACTCTTGACAAAGTAAGTCATTCGAGTGCATAAATTCAAAAGCTCACATTTTAGGACATTTGTCTTCGTGCGCAAACACCTTCGTGCCAGTTTGATGAAGACATCGATATTAGTCTCCCTGTACTTGCGCCACCTGATAGCGTTGGTTTGATATGGACGCAAAACGGCCAAGTCCACTTCAACTACCATCGAAGGCGCGTGGAACTCGCTTACATACAAGGCAAAGTGTACGATCTTTTGTATTCCAACCGCTCAAGCAAGGTGACTGCCCAAGAGCGACAACGACGAGTATCTCGACTTCAATCTATGCTCGATCAGTGGTACGAGCGCATTCCAAATGTATTCCATATCGAGCATGTCGCTGCGACGGTGGGACCGAGCCAGCTTGTGCAGATGACAAAGATGCACCACGCTTTTCTGCTGACGGAAGTGATGATCCATGGTATTTATAGTCATAATGCTGAATGGGTCAAGAGGATCAGCTCTTTTAGTAGAGCTACGATAACCTCTGTTGGAAACTTGGAGAATAGGGGCTTTGGCGCCGGGAAGTGTCAGGACCAAGCACCGCCTTTACCTGAGGGATGGAATCATTGTGTGGACGTGAGCAGAGGGTGCATGAAGTTATTCCAGGAAGCTACACCAACAGAGTGTCTTATTTGGTACGTCAGTTGCAGAGAGTCTTGGGAGATTACTGACCAGTGCAGGCAATGTAGCTGCTCTCATTTCTCAGCGCTCATCGTCCTCCTCGCCAACATGATCCTCAACCCCGGCCACAGCTCAATCCACATTGATCAGCACCTCTCAGTAAAAGCGCTCGATCTCTTCGACAAGCTTCTAAAGATCATTGACGACGAAGCGTTCAGAGCCTTGCGAAGCGTTGTTGGTGAACTCAGCCAGAGGGCGCAAACGGCTGTGGCGGTGTATAGAGAGGAGCTGAAGGGATTGGGGAGGGACGTCTTTGAGGCGCTGAACGTGGACGATGTGGCTGTGCAGGAGGTGGATTTCTTACCGGCGGGAGACACGGACATGTTTGAGGGGCTTGAGGTTGAGGGGCCGTTTGTGGGGTTGGACGGGCCGTTTGTCGGATTAAGTGGGGAGCTTGAGCGGGGCTTCGGAGACGGGATGAGCTTCATGGACGGCGGAGTGTTGGACATGGAGTTTATGAGATGAGATACGATAGGCGCTAATTGACACTAGCGCAAGAAGGGAGAGAGAGGAATCACAAGCTTCAGTGAAGCGATGCGAACAGTCACGATCATTGAGCGAAGGGTGAGAGAGAAGGAGAGTGATCAATTATTCTAATCCGATGGCCTCAATGAGAAAGACAAATAGCAAGACAAAAGCAGTGATTGATACAAGGTAAGGACAGTAACACCTCAGTGATTACTCTACCAGCAGCGAGGAGAGAAAGATAAAAGAAGGGGAAAAAAGGAAAGAAGGAAGGAAACCGAGCAAGATCCGACAAACAACAACAACAACAACAACAATGAAGAACCACCCCATCCATGCAGTCACAGATGTGGCAACGTACGAAAATGGCCTGAAGCGCCACAGGGACCCAGGTGCGGTTGTCGGCGAGGGGCTATGTTGACTGGTGGAGAGCGTAGCGGGCGACCTGGTCATGCTGTTGACCAACATATCAGATCGGACGCCAATCCTCGACAGCGGCGCCGGCTGGGAGATGGGATTCTTGCAGAGACAGGTGGTGGGCATACGTCGGCGCTCTCACCGGGCTCTGGCTCCTCCACCAGAAGTTGAGGGGTCGAGCAGCGCCCGGAGGACAGACTGACTGGTGTTGGGGGTGCAAGCTCATCATGGTGAGGCAGAAGAGTGCCATGGCGACAGTCAAAACACCAGGCCCTTCAGCACTCCATGGCACTGATTGCCATTCCACAAGGCATGAGTCGGACAGGCCTGTTTCGCCGGGTGTACCACTCACACGGACGACGACAACTTCATCAGTTGAGAGAATGAATCCGTACCGAGTTTTGGAAAAGAGGCAATTGGTGGCGATACGGCAGATCGGCAGGAGTGTGTACTCATCCGCGGGCAGAAGCAAGACACTCGAACGCCACGTGCTGGCGTGCAATACACAACTGACCACCAGAAGATTTCCACTATCCTCATCCCGAAAGGTTATCGCCGACTTGCGATTTCTCACAAGCCGGTGTTCTGGGACGATCTCAACAGCTTTGACGGGGCTACGGAGACGGTCTCGCAGGATTTCTAACCCTTTGTCGATGGGGTTCTTGAGGCGGGGAGCAACATGTTGCTGGAACATGTGCCTGATGCTATCGGTGTCCTTGATCTGAGCAGGAGCTTGCCGAACCCCGACGGGCGGAGCCACCGAAGCCATGAGAACGTCACGGTAGGCAGTCGACAGGACCTCAAAGCTGAAATCGGACCATCGAGACAGCTGTATGCTGGCTGGGTCTAGTTGGAAGACAGTCTCCCTCCCCCATAAAGTTCTTGGGATACCGTCTAGCTCAAGACGGAGGTTTCGGGCCGCCAGAGCTTGTCGAATGGAGATTTCCTGGTGGTTACTGAGGGCGAACGGGTGAACGGGTGATGAGATATCCATTCTGCCCGTGGTATTGCAGGGTCGATGGATCAAAAGAGATGGCTTGGTGAATGGTCAAAGAAGTAGCCGCGTTGGTACGGTTGATGGGAAGAGTAGGATGAGGGGAGAGTTTTGGCCAAGTCTTGGGGACGAGAAGTGTCCGGATATATGGTAAACCTCTTGATCATCATACACATGGGGCTTGGCTGCAGAGAAGCCTCCTTCACTTCCAGGCATCAAAGAAAGGCAACGTAACTTGGGCCCCCTCCGCTATACGTAGTCCGTATCAATAGACAGACACCTAAATTGCGGAATATCACTTATCATAAAAAGCAAAGATAAATTCAATTGCACACTTAGCGTATATGTGCTCAGCCGCGCTTCCCGGAGCAAACAGGATATCACCAAACGGTACCGGGACCGAAATATGACTTATTGTAAGCTACAATAAGTAGTTGAAGACCAGCTGTGCTCTAAATCAGCAACAAAAGTCTAATTGTCAACACGGTGTAGTTGTTCATGATAGATGAAATCGCATGGTAACCTCCTCACTCTCGTGAGAAAGAGGCTTGCCAAGAAAATGACAGTGTGAAACTAGCAGCAGTAGTAGTCAGTCACCCCGGAGGCTTCAATACAGGCCAAGGTACGGGGAAATAAGTCCAGACCGCCATAATGGCTAGCCGATCGTCGTTGGTCTGGAGACTGAAGGCTCGTCCGTTACAGCGCGGGCAGATTGTGCATCCACAGCCCATCAATCCGCGGGTTGGAAATTAAAGGACGAGCTCCCGCGACTGCACTGTATTTTGATGAGAGTGTAGTGTACCGTCCCGTTTGGCTTGTTACCCAATGAGGCTGCGTCATCTATTGCTGGTGTAACAAAGAAACCTGCTGCTCAGGGCACTGGACATGGACTGAGCTCGGGCTGTTCAGAGGCTGTTAGCGGCGTGCTGACAGCTAATAATATCGGATGGATGCGCTAACTTGTTGAATCATCCAGAGACAATCAAAGAGATTAAGTGTCGGCTCTTCCGCCGCACCGCGCTTTGCGGATTCAAATGTTGTTTGTTGTCACCCTTTTTGGGGGTACTCTTTCTGGACTCCTTTTACTTGCTCCCATGAACATGCATGTCTACTCAGACAAAGAGAGGGTGAATTGAAAGACTGAAAAGATCTGTCGTGAACACATCCATCGCTCTTTGTATTGGTGTTGTTGGCTCCGGGTTAATAACCCGAGCACCCCCGGAGAAGTCCTTCAAGCCTACTCTACCTGAAACTCAAGACAATTGTATCTGACAGAAGAACGTCTCTCTTTTTTTCCCTTCCGGATCTTGCCCTGCATTGCCCTTTTTCTTTCTTCTTCGCAACTGGCTTAGTCAATGCCTACGCCGAAACCGCTCCCGGACTGCGAAGGTCCAAAGCTGGAATGTTTCACGGATGATATCACAAAGCACAACTTCAAGTTGCTGGAATATCTCGGGGGAGGCTGCCACTCCAAGGTACTCAAAGCCGAGATCGATGACAAGATCTACGTCATCAAGTTTGTACGTCTGCAATAGAACACAACAACCACGCCTACTGCTAATGCGCAACTACTTACTTACTTACCTTGCCTACTTAGTTTTTTCGGGATACCATGCACGAGCCGCACTTCGAAATGACACCGCTTGACGACTACACCATCGACGCAGATGAATATTACCCCCTGGTTGCAAGCGATGAGATGCCCCAGCGTGTAGTCGATAGCCTACGTCTCCACGCCACATCCTTCAACAACGAATGTCGCGCCTACGGCAGGCTCAAGGAACTCGGCCAGGAGCATCTCGCCCTCAAAGCGCACGGTTATCTACGCGTCTACTTGCATCAGATCGAGGAGCAGCTCCAGGACGCGTACCGTCGCGCCTATCCCGCAGGTCCCCCAAGAACCGCACAGTTCCTCATGCGCCATGATGACGCCGACGCCCCCATCATGGCTATCGTCAAAGACTGGGTCCCGGACCACCGAACGACTGCAACGACCATGACCCGCGAAGCGGAACATAGGCAGTTACGTCACCTACCGCGCATGCTTCGAAACCTCCGCCAGCTCCATCGGTGCGGCATCGTTGTGCGCGATCTCAAAGCCCAGCAGTACTATGAGGGCCAGCTAGGCGACTTCAGCCATGCCTGGACAATTCCACATGTTTTTGGTCCCGAGGGTGGGGTACGACCGCCCTGGACCTTTGCAAGTATGGCAGCCTGGGACCTCAAGTGTTTCCAGCTCATGATCGACGATGCGAACAAGTCTGCGCAAAGGGCTGAGCCGCCACTGAGGAAATGTAACTCGTGTGCCTGGCGCAACTATGAGCGCTATAGCAGCCTTCGCCCTCGTCCCGGCACGCAAAGACCTTTTCTCCCCCTGCTCAACTACGACGACGGGCGTAAATGGGAAATGAATTACGATCCTCCATACGACCCGGCACTCTTCGACTGGAAGGCCATCCAAAAACGGACAACAAACAAGTCCATTGGCAATATCCCAAAGAAGGAGTCCACCGGCGGTGTCTCAAAGAAGAGAAAGGCCACTACCACTGGGAGAGCCCGGCAGAAAAAGAAGGTCAAGAGCAAGACGAGGAAACGATAGGGTGGCCATACTCACTTCAGTTGTAGCTTCTTGCATCTCCATTGGATAGCGGAAATGTGTTTTTGACGTGTTTTGTTTTTGGTGTTGCGATCTTGGCTCACGCACATGTTTTGTTTACATATATCATAATACCATTTTGTTCGTTTTAATTAGTGATTTATAACCAATAAATCTTTGTTCTAGCATCCCAAGAACGATAAATGATGATCGCGAGAGTTTACCTAGCAATTGTCCGCCTTAAAACCATCCGACACCGGCATAAATGGTGCGGGGCCGGATTTGACCCGGAGCATTAAATTCCCGTTCGGTCCATTCAATTGCATCATTCCCTGCTTCAGAGTCTACGAACCCAACTCTGTGACAATTCCTTACAAAAAATGCTATCGCCGGCGATATCCACAACAATCTCTACACCCGGTAGGGCCAGAGCTTCCTGCGAGCCGTGTAGTAAGTGACAAGACGTCGAGCGCCGGTTTCAGCTGGCTTATCCGTACCCCAACCCATAGGATCGCGAAAGGTCCGATGCTCGGGAGAATACCCGGTGTGTTCGAAATGCACCGTTTCTAATCGAGGATGTATCTACTCTCTGCAGAAACGCGCCGGCAGACCCAAGAGGCCCTGTGCTATAGCGCGCGTGCCGTCCAGTCCCCCTCGTGAGGATGATCGCGGGCCGTCACCAGCGCAGTCGAATACCGCCCTAATAACGATCGTCACGGAAGAGCGCCCGAGCCCTCACGAAGCTAATACAGATATACCGCCATATCTCGCTGACTTTGAGAGCTTTGCGCCGTAAGGAGTCCGTTGAATGAGCCGCCATTTCCGCTTTCTAACCCTCCACAGCGCGCAATCTCACAGCGACATCCTCACGCAGACAGACATCAACGCTTCATGCGCATGCCTGTCGATCCTCTATCTTCTCCTCAATCGCCTCGGAGTCCGCACCGAACTCATTGTCCCCGATGATCTTGCGACTCTGCGAAATACATTCGAGCGCGCAACGGATGTTCTCGAATGCTCAAAGTGCCCTATGCGCTTCTCATCCGTGCTGCAAAACGCAGGCATCTTGGGCATTCTGTGCGTCTGCATTGCCGAGTCCTACGTCAGGCTCATCAAGACGATTGATGCAAAGGCAGTTGAAGCGACCGCCAAGGGAGAAAAGCTAAAGGTCGCGCTAAATCCCTTGGGTCAATCACTCACCGCAGGCGACGCAGTGTTGGTGCCGATTGAAGTGTCGCCCGAGCAGTGGAAAAGTCTCATGTACAGTGTCGTCAAGTCGGAGATATTTGGCATTGAGAACCATCGCGACAAGTCGTTCGTCGCGTTCATTGAGCGGTTGGAAGAGCGGCAGACGAGATGGCATGCGCTGCCTACCGCGCCCGACTGCCCGCCAACGTACCAGTCTGCTTGTTCGTCTTCGGATGAAATGCCACTCTGCTTAACCATCACGAAGGCGGCGAGAAAGGTCCTTGACTCGCTCGCTTCTGCTTTGGAGTGACAAAGAGAACGCACAGATGCTTCGGCAGAAGGTCATGACCAGCTAGCGCTTTTCTTGGATTGACTGGAAATGTTTGAAGATAGGAATCCCCCAAATTGGTACAATATTACTAGAAATTGCAAACTCTTCCCTACCTGTTACACCTGCTAACAAAACCACCCTCAATACCTTATATCCAAGCAACCGTATAGCCAACATTCCCATCCCGTACGAACCTCCACTACTGAACAATTGCAGGATGCAGAGCGCCCTTGAAATGAGGATTAAAGTCATACGTCTGATGTCTCTTGTCATCCTCCCAGATCAACGTAGTCCCCTCGGAATGGATCTTGAAGTGCGCTTCACTCAACTTGTGCGCCTTCGCATCCTCCGACAAACCCTCAATCTCCTTTTCATTATACACCAAAGCCTTGTTACGGCCCTTGAAACAGGCATTCGACTTGTCGCCGTGGTTGTTTCCGGGCGTGTAGCTCGAGAACTCCTGCAACCGGTCCAGAAGAGATTGGTGCAGGACTGCGCCGCGAGGAATATCACGGTACGAACCTTTGTTGGGAGGGAATGTCACGGGCTTCCAGCCGAGGAGCTTGACGTTGGCATCTGTCGTGTCGTCGAGTTCCCAGCGCGTTAGGAAAGGGAGCCATTCTGGGACGTGTTAGTTGGGATTGAGACGGTCTGCCTGGAACTTACCCATGAACTTCCACATGAGGACTTTGAAGAAGGCCGTTCCGTAGCCAAAAGCGAGACAGTCGTGCATGAATCCATGCGTCGCTTCTCTTCGCTTGGCAGCATCTTCCATACTCTTCTCAAATGGCTTGAGGCTATGGCACCAATGCACTCCCGCCTGCAGCGACTTGTCCATCTCGCCGCACTTCTTGACCTCGCGAATCATCCACTCAAGTGGAATGTCGCTCATCTGGAACCTATCCTTGTTCAGGTTCTGACTCGCCTTGCCAGCTTTTCTCGTCAGCCACGCGTTCTTGATCCTACCCCAGAAAGATGGCTTCTCAGCTTCATCTTCCTGCTCATCAGGCTGCGCGGGCCATCCGCCGCCGACGTCGCCGTGGTTGCCTGGGAACCAGACTTCCTTGATGTCCTCTTCATCATCGTGGCTGTGCACTGCGGCTCTGATGTCCTGCGCCAACAGAGCGGGCTTGAACTTGACGCGACGCTCGTCAACGGCTACAGCGTGACGGACATGAGTCGCTGTACCCGTTACAGGAACGGGCATCTTCGCTTTGCGCTCGAGAACAGCAACTGAAGCAACGCAGTCCCAGATTCCGAGGAAGAACACCTTGATGTTCTCCTCTTCACCGGCGCGGTTCGTCTCCTTGCGACAGAATGTCTGACTGAATGCCTCAATCTCGTTGGAGGCATCCTGCGTCTCTTCACTGACATCTTCAGGCTTTGTGCCAAGGAGCTGTGTCGTGTCGGCGGGAGCGTCTGTCTCTGAGCTGCCGTGCTTGGAAGTGCACTGCGCATGCTCGTTGTCTTTTATCTCGCCTTGAAGGTATCGCTGATAGAGACGGTAGGCGAACGGGACCATTTCCTCGTTGCCTTTGCAGAGAAGACCGACCTTGTTGACCATTCTGGCGAGGAACTTGGCTGTGTAGGCCCCTCGGCTGAAGCCAAAGACGTAGATCTTTGCGTTCTTTAGAATGTCAGTTGAGGAACCCAGTGGTCGGGAGATGAGACTTACAGTTTCATAGTATCGCATGAGAAAGCGATAGCCAGCAATGACATGAGCGTCAAAAGTGGTGCCAAAGCCTTGATCGATCGTCTTTGAGATGTTACTCCCAAATTCACCAAAGATGCCCTTGTTCACAGACGTCTCATTGATATCGTATGTACCAATTCCAGCTATGCACAGTTAGCAACCGCATCTCAACTCAATGACTGGCATCTTACTCTGGTAGTAGTGGAACTGGTTCTTGTTGTTTCGATCCAACTTCCGAAGGATCTTGACAACATTGGTATCAGCATTGGAGCCACTGAACGTGTTTCCCGTGCCGTCAAAGCATAGGATGAGCTTCTTGGGCTCCGTAGATTCAGTGCCTTCGTTCTCAGCGTGAGGCATCTTTGCAAGAAGAATGATGGGGGAGTTTCCAAGGTGAGACGGAAATTCAATGTCTGGGGGGCCAGCTATGCTTCCTTTATGCGGAGACAACGGGATCCCTTGCGTGGTTCTTTTGCTTGTACCACTGAGCTCCCGGCCCGTGTAGCATAGCACACCTGCGACGGGAGGAGAGATGTATACAGTACGTAGAGCGAGATATTCACATGCATTGTTGTCTCCTACCTTACGAGAATGACGAATGAAGGGATGCTAATCGGAGAATATTGATTCGTGCTTAGCATTTCTGTTCAGCCAGCCACGAGAATCTCATCTTTTGCCTAAGTTGGTAGAAATGTCTGGCTAAGGGACGGCTCGGGGAGGGGAAAGAGAGGAGAGGAGAACTTAGTGAGCATGTTGTGATACGGTGCGGCTGAGACTTGATTTCTGTTTGGGGTCTGTTGCAGTTGATGCTCGACACGCCACAATTCCATTGTTGTTGGTTGGAGGTTGAAAGGCGGGGAGATATGCACGACTCCGGTCTTGTGAAAGTCGGTGACTGTTGTAGCTGCACCCATGTACTTGTCTAGGACCCTGATGTTTTAGAGGGAGGTTATGTATTGGTTGATTTTTGCTTCTTTTTTGTTGCAGTTAGCTTGATGTAATAAAAGGAGTGTTATTGCAGAGTGCAGATAAGCGGTGTTAGATAGAGTCTAGAGATCTGAGAGATGAGAAGAGATTGACGTGAGGGGTTGGTACTGAGACGATCTTGCGGTTCTTTTGTTTGTGTAACTCGAAATAAGCATGTTCTTGCTTTAGATTAACCCGATAATAGCCTGAAGATCGGTCATGATGTGATTCCAACTCGACCATCAGTACATACATACACAAACAACCTGTCTCACCCATATCTCTCAATGTCTTCCGATCCGAAGCTCACTGCATCAACATCCAGATCTAGATTCCCTTTCCTTTTTCTCGTCCCCATGTATTTCCACGCTCCAGCAAATCAAACAACACACGAACTGCAGGTCTCACAACCCCTCACTTGACAACATCCCCCCGGCTGAGACATTAGCTCACTCCGGCACCTGCTATTTGCCGGACGGCGCAACGGCGATCATTCCTAGGGTTGCACGGCATAAACGCCCGTCAGCAAAAGAAATGTCTAGCTTCGGCAGATTGAGGGGGAGGGGGTCCGCGCTGGTTGGTCGGAACGGACCGCCTGCATTGGCGGTAAAGCTAGGAGATTTTGATGGGAGAGGGTAGGTAAGCTAGATGAGGTGAGATGCTACGGAGATCGGAAAAGTAGCTTAAGTTAACTTGACTTTGACGCGTATAAAGAGAAGAAAACAAAAGGGTTGATGAATCACAAGAAAATCAAAGGAATGGAGAGTGCAGATGCAGTAACTGAAATGTCAGATCATCTTTGAGGCCTCTGCACAGCACACCCTCTTTTCCAAACTTGATAGATCTCGCATCCAGGTTTCACACAAGACAACAGCCTGTGAGACATTGCTTCTCACCAACCCCTCACTCTCAAAGCTTCATCCCGGTAAAGCTGCTTCCCAGCTTATCACCTTGCGTCATTGTCTCAGCTCCCATCCCGCGTTGGCAATACGAGAGCTTGCATTGGACAGGCCGTGCTGTCTATCAGCTCTCGTTGCACCGACGCCACCTCCACTCGAGGGTCCGCGATGTGGTTACCGAAAGCTACAAGTGACTTATTCGGTATAAAGCATGGGGAGATCAAGATGCCGCTCAACAATGTTGGAATTGGTTCTCACACGCTTCCTCTTTCTTCATCATGTCGTTCAATGAAAAGTTTCAGGCTGGCGAGTCGTACGGGACCTCTAAGGAGGATCCGGCGAGTCTGCTGGATAACCCTGAGAAACTCGTTGCGGACCTCATGAAGGACTTTGCTGGTGTTCGAAGCCAAGCTAGTCCTGCTCAACTCCTCGGTCTTGTCAAGGAGCTTCTCCAAAAGGGTCAACCTCTTGATGACAAGAAGGGGTAAGTCACTCACTCATCTACACCATGTTCAAGAGAGCTTGTCTAACAGCTGTAGAACTACTGAACTCCTCATCGGCATCCTCACCGCCCTTCCTGCATCCTCCAAAGCTCGTACAGCTCTCACAAACAAACTCATCGACACCCTCTGGGGCAATCTTCAGCACCCTCCACTGAGCTACGTCGGCGGCGATGTCAAGTACGACGTCGTCAACTCTGATCAGCCTGCTCACAAGCATAACTGCGAACTTTATGATACAATCGAGTTCAAAGTCCCTGGCACTGATGTTCTTCTTCGAGAGCAAGTGCCCCAGGCTCCAGATGGCCTTCATCAGTACCGCATGCCAGACGGTAGCTTCAACAACATCCTTGAGCCTAATCTAGGTAGGGCTGGTACACCGTATGCCAAGTCTGTCAAGTCGGAGAAGAGACTTCATGGTGTTAAGCCTGACCCTGGTTTGTTGTTTGATCTTCTCATGGCGAGAGATGAGACGACGTTCCAGGAGAATCCAGCAGGTATTTCGTCAATGCTGTTTTATCACGCTGCGATCATCATTCATGATATCTTCCGTACAAACCGTACAGATATGAACAAGTCTGATACCTCATCGTATCTTGATCTCGCTCCCCTTTATGGTTCTTCATTGAAGGATCAGCTTGAGATTCGTACCATGAAAGAGGGCAAGCTCAAGCCTGATACCTTTCACGAGAAGCGTCTTCTCGGCCAGCCAGCGGGTGTCAACGTCATGCTTGTGCTGTACAGTCGATTCCACAATTACGTGGCAGACATTCTGCTCAAGATCAACGAGAACGGACGTTTCTCACTGTCAGTGCCGTCCAATGCTTCCGAGGAAGCAAAGGCAAAGGCAATCGCGAAGCAAGATCACGATCTCTTCAATGTAGCTCGCTTGATCACAGGTGGTCTGTACATCAACATCTGCTTGCACGATTATCTTCGTGCCATCACCAACACTCATCACTCCGCGAGTGACTGGACTCTCGATCCTCGTGTTGCGATTGACAAGCAATTCGACGGCGATGGCGTCCCGCGAGGCGTTGGCAACCAAGTCAGCGTCGAGTTCAATCTTCTCTACCGCTTCCACTCTTGTATCTCCAAGCGAGACGAGAAATGGATCAACAACTTCTTCCTCAAGCTGTTCCCTGGCCGCAAGGCTGAGGATCTCCAAGACGTCAGCTGGACGGAGCTTGGACAGGCTCTGCTCACATTCGAGCAGAACACTCCCAAGGATCCTAGCGTTCGCACCTTTGACGGTCTTGAGCGTCAGCCTGACGGTACGTTCAAGGATGAGGATCTTGTTCGCATTCTCAAGGACGCTATGGAGGATCCTGCTGGAACTTTCGGTGCTCGCATGGTTCCCAAGGCCCTCAAGGTCGTTGAGGTTCTGGGCATCATCCAGGGCCGCAAGTGGCAGTGTGCTTCGCTGAATGAGTTCAGAGAGTTTTTTGGTCTTAAGCGCTATGATTCGTTCAGCGAGATCAACTCGAACCCTGATATTGCGAATATCCTGGAGAAGTTGTACACTGACCCAGACATGGTTGAGTTGTATCCCGGTCTCATGATCGAGGATATCAAGCCTCAGCGCAACCCTGGCTCTGGCATCATGCCGACTTACTCCGTTGGCCGAGCTGTTCTATCTGATGCTGTCACACTCGTTCGCTCAGACAGGTTCAACACCATTGATTACACCGTGTCGAACCTCACTGCCTGGGGTTACAATGAAGTCCAGCAGGACTACAAGACTCTCGGTGGCTCAATGCTGTACAAGCTCATCCAGCGCGGTGTACCAAACTGGTTCCCCTTCAACTCGGTCGCAGTCATGCAGCCAATGTACACCAAGAAAGCCAACGAACAGATCGCCAAAGAGATCGGTACTTTTGACCAGTACACTCTCGACGACCCCAAGGCACCTCCCAAGGTCGCCGTTCTCACTTCAGGACCTGCTATTAAGCAGATCCTCAGCAACACCAAGCAATACGTCGTTCCCTGGCTCAAGCCTCTCAACACTCTTTTCCCTGGTAAGAAGGACTTTGGCTGGTTCATGCTTGCGGGTGATCAGCCCCAGAACTACAGCCACCGCGCCAACTTTGCCAAGGCCATGAGCAAGATTCCCAACATGCACAATGCCGTCCACGCGTTTATTGAGCGTGAGGGTACAAGACTCATCAACAAGGAGACTTTCACCCTCAAGAAGGGTCTTGATCAGATTGACATCATTCGCGATGTCGCTATCCCTCTGAACACACAACTTCTGGCTGATCTGTTCTACTTTGATCTCCGAACCGATGAGAATCCAGACGGTAAACTCGGTGTTGCAGAGCTGTACCGCAGTCTTCTCGACATTCGTGTCTGGGGCGTGAACAACAATGATCCCGCGCAGGCATGGAATCGTCGTCGTCGTGCTCAAGAGGGCGCGAAGAGAATGATTGAGACGACAAAGACTATCGTCGCAGAGGCTGACGCTGGACGTCCTCGAGGTATTGGACTGGTATCTGCCGTTGCTAACAGGATCGGCGCCAGATCGTACCTCAAGAAGGACTCCCTACGATCATGTGGTCTCAAGCTTGTGGAGGAGTTACTCGCGCAGGGGAATAACGTTGATCAGGTCACTGATAATCTCTGGCTCACTGCCTTTGGTGGCATTGGTGTCCCTGTCACTGCTGTAAGTCGAGTGACAAGATTGAAGAATCATGTGCTGACGGTGTGTAGTTCTACGAGGTTCTGTCATTCTTCCTTCGTCCTGAGAATGAGGCTATCTGGACCGAAGTTCAGGCCATTGCTCAGAAGGGCGATGATGCTACTCTTCACGCCTACGTCGCTGAAGCTCAGCGCATGACGAGCTCACAGCGCAACGTCCGTGTTGCGACAGCACCAGGCGAGGTACAAGGCCAAACCATCCAACCTGGAACCGCCGTCGTGCTCATGCTCGTAAGTCACACCCTCACATCACAAGTCTATCGCGTCTAACAATGGCCAGGGCGAGGCTGGCCGTAACCCCAAGGAAGTTCCCGACGCGGGCAAGTTCAACCCCCAGCGCAAGAAAGAAGACGTCTCGGCTTTCAGCTACGGCCAACACGAATGCATAGCCAAAGACGTCGCCCTCGCTTTCGTCACAGGCCTCATTAAGCTCGTTGCCGACCTCAAGGAGCTTCGACCTGCGCCTGGTCAGATGGGAACTGTCAAGACTATCCAGGTTGGCACTGAGAAGGCTTACCTCAATGATAGCTGGTCATACCTCGGCTTCGACGCAAGCAGTAAGTTTACGACTCCCTGTATGTTTAGTAACTGTGCTAATGATGTGTAGCTTGGAAGGTTCACTTCAATGGTCATGGAAAGGGCAACTTTGAGGGCGAGAGGGTTCCGACGAAGAGCACCCCGATTCAAGAGTATTATTCCTTGCTTCAGAAGAGAAAGGATGAGTTTTTGGGGAAATAGGCTTAACTTATGATAGTCAGAGTAGTCTTGAACAATGAACAATCGTTATGAATCAGTTATGGGACTCAGCTACCGGTTACCCCTGAGTGACATGTAGACACGTCACAGCTACCACTCAATCATTTGCTATCGCCACCTGAATCTCGGCCATCGGCTAAAGATTAGCATAACATCAAGGTAAGCTAGTAACGTCAAGCCACGGCCGCCGTAGAATCCCGACGCCTACTTCTCAGAAGGAGCGCGTTGCCTTCTTACACGACGAGGATGATGAGACCCCAGAAGCACGAGGTGAGATCAAACTCAAGCTAGGTTAGTTAGGCCATACAGTATAAACGGACGTGCAAATTTAAGAGGCTCATTGACAGGTGACGGATATCAGTTTCTCAGAGAAGCAACGAGAAGTGAGGAAGTCCTCATCCTTCCGGCCAAGGAGACTCGGGGGGGTTCTTCTGGGGTCACTGCTTCTTCAAAAGCCGAAGCTTAGCTTCATATCAAAGATAATTGCTCTTCCCTGTTATTTTTTATCCATTTTGATCAGACCTGACCTTAGTTTAGTCTTAGCCCTTGTTCCTGAACGTCCCCGCTACCTGGTTGAAAGGGGCTCTACCCCTGGCTCATTGATGCTTCAGGAGAACAGCTCCGAGTCACCTATTAACGAAGCGAAGCTGGACAGTCAAACGGACTTCACATCCGAAACTCTACATGATTGCTAAAACTCTAGCTGAGCAACCCAGATGCTGCCTAGGAGACCAGGTTCCTTTCACCGCAGTCGACGTCAAGTATGACACCCCTAATGGACGAGCGCAGTACCGGTTTTCGAGGACGTTTTTGGGTATATTCAGGGGGCTCATTTTTATCCTCTAGTTAGCTTGGGATCGGGGTAATCGGCTGTCTATCAAGCCAGTCTCTTCTGGGCTCGTCTGTGTTCTTCATCCGCATCAACCTCATTCAGGGCCACAGGACCAAACTGTAGGTCAAGGACTTTATGGATCGAAACACAGATCGGACCGTTCAAAAGCCCCTTCTTGTTTGACTCAAAGGAGTTCTCAGTCTCTCGCATGTCAACATCACTACCAATGCGTCTTCCTTTCATCTCCCAACATACCTACGTCCCAAGTACCGCCAGTATAAAGTCAGAAGCCAGCTACAAGTTTGACCAACAACAAATTAGCTACTTGCGACATGCTCCTTTGGCCAAGAGTGGGAGCGGACTTTGCAATCAGTTCCTGGACGCAATATACTCACTATCAATGGCCAAAGCATGCCATATGGACGCACAGCCGTCCAGGCTACCTGATTCAACACTGATCACCATCATCAACGAAGCTGAAATAGCGCTTACACTAAACTCGAGGTCTTATACCATGATTCATTCATCGTGCTGGCTGACATTCCCCTATCCATCCCACTAGAGACCAGGTTCTACCGATGACTCGGGAGCCACGAGGATATCCAACTCTCAGCAATCCAGTTCAGCGACCAGTCTATGTCAATTGAGCAGCCTTGGACAATTTGGTGAGAGCGCCTGCATTAGAGGTCGAGGTCCTCACGCCGAAGAACGAAGGCAGCGTGCAAGCATTGTCGTGGTCAGCAGTCATACTGCCACTACAAAGCTATCACTTGCCGTGTCACAGAAAGTCTGACGAAGACGGAAGGGCAACTAAACAGCTTTGTAGGCATGGCGATAGAAGTAAGGTAAGGACAGGCATTCATAAAGCAGAGAAGAGGGGACGCGATGATGAGGCAGCGATGATACACTCAAGAACGAGACCCAGGATGGTATCTTGGAGACGTTGAGGCGTGATAAGATCTCATTATATAGGAGTTCAAGGCATGTCCCATACAGTGAAGTCAACGCCGGCTTATAGTTTACCCATACAGCTTGAGATGTGACAACCCATCCGAGCCACGACGCGTAATCAGAGATTGCGAGATGCTTGACCCAGATTAGTATAAGTGGCAGAGCTTGAAACTTGACATGGCCAATTGACAATTGTGTATAAACTCAGCAGACTCTCTGGCCAGACAGTGTCAAGTGTTTTGGGTCTTCTGACACCCGAGGCCACGGTGAGTCCATCTCCATTTGAGGTTAGACATTACAGCAACGATCCAAGACATGCCCGGCAGACTCTGTTGGCTAAACGAGACCAGATCGTCTACTCCGTAGTGAGAAGTCTGTCGCAAAAGAGAGGTCCACTAGACTACGGTAGTCCTCGCTTCTCGTTCAACTGACTCAGTCAACACTCGCCTAAGAGACGCATCGAATCAGATCATTTCGGCTCTGGATGACATCTCAAGTGGATAAACCCAATTAATTAATTAGACTCGCGTCCGTATACGAACGAGTTCCCATTCTTTTGACGTGTCGTGATTAGCCTGACCTGATTAGCCCGTTATCGCACCGCAAATTTGCCCCAAGTCGATCTCGTCCCATATTTTTCGAGATAGATAGAGTAAAACCCGGGGCGTGCGTGCGTCTTCAGGGGATGGATCCTTGTTCAGCTGATGAAACAGGTTCTGTGACCGGCAACCTCGTTCCTTGTCTCGCTCGGTTCGTGTATGTAATTATTCTTCTTTTTCTATCGTGACACTTCTTTGTTTACTTTCTTTCATTCTTCTCATCATCGTCAAAATGCACAGCTCTACTACTACACTTCTTCTCATCGCTGCTACTACAGTCAATGCCATTGGCATACGCGACGACGACTGTAAAGACGTACACATCTTTCTTGCAAAGGGCAACAATGAACCCTACCCAGGACGACAGGGAAAGCTCGCGGGTGCTATCTGCAGTGGTTTAAAGAGCTGCGACTATGAGGATATCCAGTTCCAGAATGCTCTTGAAGACCCGTTCTGCGATTCTGTCACCGAGGGCGTCAAGAATGGCATCAAGCAGATCACGGCGTACAACAAGAAATGCCCAGACTCAAAACTCGTCGTGAGCGGCTACTCTCAGGGCGGACAAGTCGTCGGCGACATCCTCGGCGGCGGAGGCGGCGTGTTCTTCCAGAACTGCGTGGAGCCTGATCTACAGGGCCTGAATCCCAAGACACTGCCCGGAAGCAAGATTGTCGCGGCGATGGTGTTTGGCGATACGCGACATACCAAGGATCAGCCGTACAATGTGCTCTCTGGCGCAGGCAAGGATGGACTGTTTCCTAGACCGGCGGGCATGTTGAAGAATCTGGCGAGTTATGGGGACGTGTTTAGGAATTACTGTGTTGAGACGGATCCGATTTGTGCACAGGGCGATGAGGTTGAGACGCATCTTAATTACTTTGATGTGTTTACTGATGATGTTGCGGATTGGGTGAAGGAGAGGGTTGGAGAGGATTCAACTACTACTACTACGGCTGCGACAAAGACGAGTACGAACATAAAGAGCACGGCGAAGGAGACGAGTGCAAAGGAGGAGGAGACTGAGTCTACTACTGAAGCTGCGTCAACAACAAAGGCTGCTTCTACAAAGGACTCAACTACCACTGCTGCTACATCCACCACAGCCGATGCAAGCTCTACCACAGACGCAACCTCAGCTGAAGGTCGAGCCACAGCCGGTGAAGCCTCATCAGACGCCGCTGCGCCATCATCGACAGACAACGCAGCCACGTCAAAGGGCGCCTCTCTAATGGGCATGATAATCGGCGTCGCAGCTCTTTTGGCGATATAATGCATATAAAAGCGATAGATATTTGCAATTGGATATAGAAGACGAGTAATTATAACAATAAATCTCTAATTATTATCTACTCCTTACTATAAAATTGGGTTGTTGTTGTGGTTGATATCAAGTATGCACGTTGTAAAGTCAATTGAGCTTCAAGTCGTCATGACCAATCGCCCTCCTCTCCTCTCCGAAAGCGGACCCCATCACCGCTCTTCTCTTCACCTCAACATCATCACTTACAGTTACAGTTACAATGGCTCCTACTATCGTGCTCATCCGCCACGCTCAGGCTCTTCACAATGTAGCTCATAAGTCTCCCTTGACATAATCTCTAGAGTCTATCGCTAACAATGTGTACAAGAATGGTCACTGCCTGATCCTCCGCTCACAGAAAAGGGCCAAGAGCAATGCGCTCACCTAAGAGAGAACTTGATCTCTACATTCTCTGATAAGATTGATAATACAGGCGATGTAGCTATCGTTGTTAGTCCCATGCGGCGTACGATGCAGACTGCTATGCTTGCGTTGGGCTGGCTTGTTGAGCGGGGTGTTAAGATTGAGGGCAACGCAGACTGGCAAGGTCAGTTAAACCCCCAATTCTGCCCTACCACAGCCTCACTTACACGCATTAGAAAACTCCTCCAAGCCTTGTGATACAGGAAGTCCCCTCTCTTCCATCTCCCCCTCCTTCCCACAAGTAAACCTCTCCTCCGTCGATCCCCTCTGGCCAGACAAGACATCTCCATCCGCAGAGCGATACTGGTACACCAAGAAGTCCATCCTCGCTCGCGGTCAGCGCGCACTAGACGATCTGAAGAAAAGACCTGAAAAGCTCATCTTTGTGGTATCGCACGCTGGATTCTTGAGATTGGGCGTTGCGGGATATTGGTTCTTTAATAGTGATTATCGTGTTTTTGACTTTGAGGCCCAGGGGATTAAACAGCGGGAGGGCACGGCCGCCGGAGGCATGGGCTTGTCGTTTACGGAGCCGGTTGAGCTGGGGCTTGATTTGCCGGAGGAGGATCCGGGGTATGATGCTGAGGCGAAGGTGTAGATGGGATTTGAGCTTGGTGTTGGGTTAAAGGCCGTCACATAGATCAGATAACTAGACTAAAGTCGAACCGTTCATCTTTTATCTATCATCCAGTCATGATGTTACACTATAGTACACTATCCCAATTCTCATCTCGACATGAAGCTCTGGAAAGCCGACTGATCAATAATGACATTACCCACAGCACGTAACCTCTTCCTGCCCTCCTTTTGTTTCTCCAATAGCTTTCTTCTTCTCGATACATCAGCAGCGTGTAACTTGGCGAGCACATCCTTACGGAAGGGCTTGATGGTTTCTCGCGCTACGATGCGATTACCTGCTGTAGCTTGAATGACGACCTCTGTAAAGAGCATTAGTACATGGAACACGGGCTTGGATGGGGTGACGAACCGAAATGTTGACGATCAACATGCTCCTTGAACTTGGTAACCCACTGTCTTCCAAGCCTATCAACCTGCGATGAATGAACTACCTTGCAGATCGCATCGACAGGCTGTCTGTTCACCAACAGCTGCAGCTTGACGAGGTGGCTCTCCCGCCAACCTGCATCTTCATAATCTAGCGTCGCATATCCCTTGCTACAAACACATCAGCACAGTCTCAAAAAGCACCTAACATACAAAACATACGTTACGCTCTTGAGCTTTCCAAACAAGTCATCGACTAATTGAGCCGTTGGAATCTCATACTGTAGAATAACCTGCGTTGTATGGAAGAACTCCAAACTCTTCTGTTCTCCACGATTGGCTTCGCAGAGCTCAATCACACGCCCGAGGTATTCCTCTGGCATGGTGATTGTCGCAGTGACATATCTACCAGACACAGTTAGCAACGCCCAATACAGTAATCTCGACAGACTTACGGCTCCAAGAGTTGTGACTGCTTCACTTTAGGATTGCTCGTCTCCGGAAACAGCGCCGGATTCGACACTATCTCCTCCGACCCATCAGGCCATATAATCTTGGACGGCACAGTCGGTTCCGTCAGAATAACACTTTTCCCATGTTCCTGCCTCAACCGATCCTGGAACACAGAGCAGTGCAAACTCCCCAGAAACCCTAACCGCCAGCCCGCACCGAGCGCCTCAGAGTGGTCCTTCTGCAGCGTGACACTTCGGTCGTTGAGGACGAGCTGTCCGATACTATCCGCCAAACGACTGTAGTCGCTTTGGTCCGTGGGGAACGCTGCCACGAAGACCATGGGCTTGGGCTCCTCGAAGCCAGGATACGGCTCGACTTTGTCTTCGGCCCCGACAAAGGTGAATGTATCGCCCAGTTTGGCGTCTTGGATCTTCTTCATGCCCGGGTTGAAGTACACGTAACCGACTTGTCCTGCGCTGAGAGTCGCTTGGGGTATAGCATGCGGGTACTGAATGCCAACTTGTCCAACAGTGTACTTCATCCCCGTCCCCAGAGAAACAACGCTATCACCTGCTTTGATCGTGCCATCGAATAACCGCACCAGCAGCACTACGCCTCTGAAGTTATCGTACCATGAATCCACCAACATCATCTTGAGCGGCTTCTTCTCGTCTCCAACAGGATGAGGAATCCTCTCTATAACAGCGGGCAAAACATCTGGTACACCCTTTCCCGTTTTGGCACTCAGCATAATAGCGTCTTTGGGATCGAGCTCAAAACTATCATTCATCTGCTGTAGCACCCGCGGTACATCTGCAGCTGGCATGTCGATCTTGTTCACCACCGGAACAAGCGCCAGGTCCTGCGCAAACGCAAGATGGAAGTTTGACACAGTCTGTGCCTGGATACCCTGCGACGCATCAACGAGAAGCAAAGCTCCACCACAACTAGCATATGACCTCGTAACTTCAGCTCTAAAGTCCACATGCCCTGGCGTATCAACCAAATGAAGCAGATAATCTTGCCCGTTGTGCTTGTGAATCATAGTACACGTCTGCGCCTTGACAGTAATACCTCGCTCCCGCTCAACATCGAGCTTATCCAGAATCTGCTTGTTCGCATCGCTAGCAGATATCGTACCAGTGTACTCCAACAACCGGTCGCTCAGCGTACTCTTCCCATGGTCAATATGCGCCACGATGCAGAAATTACGGTATCTCTCGATGGGGATGGCGGCGATTCGGGCTTCGAGTTCAGCGGGCGTGGGCTTCGTGGCGTATCGACGGAGATTTGCGTATATCCTCGGTGTGAGGATGCTGGGCGCTTGTGAGAAGCATCGCCGACTCCAGGCACGGCCAGCGCTCCAAGCCAGGCTCATCTAGACTTTTCTAGGGCGCATTTGGCCAAGGAGTTGAGGTAGGCGGTGGTTCAGGCCCGATTCAATGGCTGGGGAGGAGGTGAGTGGGCGGGTAGTCGAGGCGCAATTCGAGATTGAAGATTTCCCCATGATGCACGAAATCCTTCTAGAGTGGTGGAGGTACGTACCCCTGTCTTCATCACACATTCCATTTCCGTGATATTACCGGGTGGCATCTTAAGATGCTGGGCTTAAGGGAGGATGGCATTAAACACTCGCTCATACATATTACTTTGAGAATATTTAGCAGAGAACTCATAGACTTAAAATTAAGGCTAAGTCTACTTAACCATAAATAAATTGCCTGATTAGACACCAGCCATAGTGCATTGCACACAAAACACCAACTGTACACATCATCAATAGACGCTCGCAGAGGAACCCATCACAATGCTATTCATCCAATCCCATCTCATAAAACTAAACTTCAACAGTGAAACATATAGATCGCTTGGGTATCGAGCCTTTTTCCCGTCACGCGGGATACATCTAAGTACTTGGCCAAGAACAAAACCGAATGCATCACGCCTTGCCCATGCATTATAACGACCCATTCGTTGCATCCCATTTCATTCCCATTCCAAAAGTTCAAGACCATTCCGTCTCTATCGTCCCAAGGTTCATTCTTCTGCATTGCCTGTTCATCCATCTCTTTGGCGCAAGTGCATCGTACAGAGTCCAGTCCATCTCTCATCCCAATCATGTGAGGACCCATTCACTACCACGCTTGAGATACTTGTCTAGCAACAGTCCCAGATCCGATAGAACAAATCGACACACGTAGAACCCAAAGAACTCTGCTGCATGTCGAGTACATAGCTCAAGGCCAACTTGAGTCTTGTCGGCGTGTCGCAATCCAGGATCCTCGACTTGTCTAGCTATTTGATCTACTTCTGGTTAGAATATCAAGCACACACTGGGGGTGGTGAGCTTACCAATAGCTTGAGCTGCATCAAACAAGCGTGCCAATGAGCTCATATACATTGCGTTCGGACCCGTGAATTGGACTTGAGCCAGATCCCGTTTGGGGGGACGGTTCGTTGGGGTAGGTGTCATTGGCAGACTGGCAATGCTGGGTATATCCTTTGACGTTTCCGTATTGACACGGCTCATGTAAGAGCCACCAAGTCCGACTGCCGAGTTCTTCGAACGAAGACGTCGCCATGAGAAGGAGGATTTCCCAGAAACACTCGCTGATCGTGGCACGCCAGTAGCTGCATCTCCATCGCCGGTGGACGCATCCTTGAACAGTGCTCCAGATCCATGAACGCCAACTTCATTGCCAAGTTTTCGACTCAATGCTGTTTGGACTTGTTCAAGAATGCCCTCCAGGGATTGCATCTCCTCCAAGACTGCATCAGCATCATAGGTGTCCACTCTTGCGATCTTGAGTAAAGCAGCTGTGAGGAAATCGCAGTTGGCCACCTTGTCCTCGATGTTCTTGAGCTTCACTCCCTTCACCCTCCAAACATCTCTAGAAACAAAGAGTTTGCTGCTGATGTAACCGCCCCGTGGGTGAGCCAATGTCTGGTAAAGACATCGCATCAGCCAGAAAGGTCGAAGCATGAAATCGGTAGGACAAGGCTCGAGGGGAGCCGGAGGATCGGATATGAGCGGATTAGGCGAGCCCGGGCTTGTCGGAGAGTAGAAGTGATCGTCAAACAATGACAGCCCAGCCGCGTTTGTCTCCGATCGTTCACGAAAGCTCGTGGCAAGAGGTGTAGGCAGAGCTGGGACTGATGGAGCATTGAGAGATCCAAAGGGATTGCTTCCTGGAGTTCCAGGAGACAAATCTGAGCCTTCTTCCAGATGTGTCAATGACATATTGCGACTCTTCATGCTTCGAAGACTCGACGACGAAAAGTTCTTCCTCAGCTTTCGCGTGTTGGGAGAGCCGGTAATGTCGTCATCACCCTTCTCTGAACCCAACTGTCCAAACGGCGATGGCGTAGGTCGAGATCCTGTCATATCTGTCGGGCTGGCTTCGAACAACGGTGGCGAGGGCTGTCTATGATTCGCACTCGCGGCCTTCGTATCCGGCTCAACTGTGGCGTCAACGTTCTGGCTGCTCAAAGGAGCAGACTTAGCCTGGTTGGCGTCGGCATAGCTCTGCATAGGAAGAGTGAGCTTCGATGTTTCAATCTTGAGTTGCTTGGGGTTTTGTCCCGAGAGTCGTCTATTTCGTACACTTTGCGCGGATGATCCAGGTCGTTGAGGTAGTTCAGGTAAAGACTGTGTAGGTGGAGGGGCAGCTGGGCCCTGTGTAAGATGCATTAAAGGTGGTGGCAGTTCTGTAACAGTAGAGAGTGAAGTAGCTCCTGTTGGGGGATTCGATCCTTGTGAGCTATGCCATGTACGTGAAGTTACGCCGCTCGAGTCAGACTCTCGGGGCGGTAGTGGGCGATTCCTATATGATTCGAGACCGTAATCTCGAGCAATCTCATCCAAAATCCTCTCTTCTTCGTCGGATGAGTTATCGTTATAAAAGTCATTGGGTGTCCCTTGGTACTCATAAGACTGGTATTGCTGTTGAGAGCGGGTATCCCTCTCCATCTCATAAAGTTCTTGCTCAGTCTCTCTGACTTTTTGACGAGCAAGTTCAACCTTGCGCATAGCATTGGCTACCACTTCCTCGCCAGCGTCCACGGACACCATTCGTCTGTGATCCATTGGGCTCATTGGCTCATACCCATCATCATAGGCGGCCTCAATAGCTGCGTCCAATGCGGTATCAAATTCAGCTTCGGTTTCTCCACTAACGCCCCGAATGTGCTTCCTTCTAAAACCAAGCGATGAAGTGCGTGAATGAACGGACGATGCAGTCGAGCCTCCTGATTCGTCAATGGGATCCAACCAAGAGTTCATGCTGTCTTCCCGGAAATGCGTTTGCGGCACGTTATGCTCTTGCGCATGGTCGTTCTGCTGGTCATGGCTCATGGAGAAATCGGTTCGCACGAGCTCGTCCATGTCGTCGACTTCTTTTGCTGGAGATAGTGGGCGCCTGGGGGAGAGCGGAGCTGGCATGTAAGGGTCCGCGGGCCGTTGTGGTAGGAAGTGCTCAGGAGTGCGAAGTCGAACTGGTGATCGTGAAAATGATGACTGAAGAAGTCCAGGCTCGGGTGTAAGACTTGTGACGATAGGTTTTGGCTTGTTTTGGGCACTTCGTCTCTTATAGCCTGGGTCATCATCTCGCGGCGGTGAATTGACAATTCGAGGTTGAGGGCTGTGACTATCTATTCTGGCAGCTGCAGCGGTGTCAAAGACAGCGGTATCATTAGGTTCATCATCATCATCATCATCATCCAATCGTAATACAGACTCGGACTCGGAATGCTGTGCTAGACTCTCAGGGCGGGCGGGCAGCGCCTTGGTCTCTTCTTCTTGCCAGGGTGCCATTTGATCTAACTCGTCAATTCGACTCGTATAAGTTCGTCGCTGTACAAGTTAGTATGAGACGTCGATAACTGGGCATGTTCTTACAATTGCTTCCAGCTTGCGTTTATCCTCGTCGGCAGTTGTCTTTTGTAGTACCTGCTGCAGGAGGTCGCAAGCCTCCGCATAAGCTTCTCGTGCGCCCTTAAAATTCTGTGCATTATCCAACTGGACCGCTGTATTCGCCTTCTGCAAGGCACGATGTAACATGGCCTTTTGAGATGGCGGTTTGGCGCGACCTCTATCATTGCTTCCCTTTCCAGATCGACTCCTGGAGTGCCCCCTTTGAGGCGGGTTGGCCTCTTGGTCCTGATCGTACTGCATATTGAGTCGATATGCAGCCATTGAACGTGCACTGCCCGGCGTTGAAGTGACGGATCGCGCTGGAGAGTCTGAAATGTCGGATTGCTTCAGGGACTGTCCCTCCTGGCGGGCGCCTGTTGATCGCCCAGGCTCACTCGAACCAGAGCCAGGGCCAGCCCCTTCAGATTTGACGTCGAGTATATCGCTTAGCGCAGCGGGCGCCTCCAAGGGCGATAATGTTACGATTAGCGGCAGGGATTGCGGTAACTGGGATCGTTCCTCTGAGGGCCTAAAAACAAAGGTGTCGGGGATGGAGACTGATGTACTTGGTCGGTGATTCTTCTGGAGTTTCCGAGGGGATGGTTTGGAAGGCGGTGGAGAGTTGTCAATGAAAGTGGTCGCATCGATACTGGGGCTTTTACCGAGTCGCGAATTGGTATGGTTGGCGCGGGGGGGTAGCGCCGAAACACGACTGAAATTCGTGGATACGGTCGAAGACGAGAGACGATTCAATAACCATGAGCTCTCGGCGGCGTTGTGGGTGATTCCGTTGCCGTTCCCGTTGCCGTTCCCGTTCCCGTTTCCGTCTCCGTTGCTGCTGCCAGGCGTGGGAGTGGGAGTGGGCGATAAGCGATCCGATCTCTGGAAAGTTACAGCCCTCGGCGAAGGTTCGATATGGGGCGGAGGGAGAAGTGAGGAAGTTCGTGGCAGACGGGGACCCGGGGCCCTGTGATTAGGATGGGCGTTTAGCGAGGGAGATGGCGAGGGCGAAAGCGCAGATCTCGACAGGTCGCGATGAGGATAATAATGTGATCTACCAGTCGCAGTCGCAGTCGCTGGTCTAGAGTCGGTCGATACGGAAGCGGAGGACGCATAGGCGGGCAAAGCCCAAGGAGGCGGGACTGTAGCGGTTGCGGAGGTGGTAGCAGAGGGAGACGCGCTCGGACGTTGGTGGTGGTGATTGTGATTGTGATTGAGAAAATGAGGAGAAGACGACATCCGACCGTCGTGCATCCTCTTTGCAAATGAAATGGAATCGATCTTCTAAAAGAGCCAACAAGCCAAGAACGAATCCAATCCGATCCAGTCCAGCGATTCTACTGGATCCTCACCAAAAAGCCAACAATTTCCCCCCTTTCCCTTGTACTCCAGTTGTAGGCGATTTTAGGGGACCTTGGACTGCTAAGGCCTAGGTTAGTGGAGGTTAGTGGAAGCCCAGACCTTTTCCACCTCACCTCGCGATTGGCAGCAGCAGTGACAGACTCGTGCTTCAGTGGGAGGTCGTGGAGATGGGGTCCGCTTCCGGCGCAATTAACTTAGTTCAGGTACAGAACAGAACAGTACAAAGTTGCTAGTAACGTAGTGATGGAAATGGAAGTTGTAGATCCCAAGTTGAATATCGTCGCAGATTCGATTCGCATTCTCGGTTCGATACGGCCTCTCTATCTCTCTCTATCGTTCGTATTCGCAATGCAAAATGCAACACTCGCTGTCGAAACAAAAGGGGATGTTGTAGAAGTTAAAAAGACACAACTCAAACACATTAAACAACTCAAGTTCGTGCCAGAAGGCAGACCGACCAGTCAGCCCAGTTCAGGGAACAGACAACCCAGCCCATCCATGTCAGGGGACGAGCCGTACCTGCATCTCGGGTTTTGGTTGGTGGTTTGGAGGTATCGGCACCCCCAAGGTACAGGTACCTACTGTAGGGATGCGTTCCTCTCTGTCTCTAATCTGTGACAAGATAGCGCATTATGCCGAGTGACCGGCAGTTGACCTGTGCATCTCCCTACCCCAGCCCTTCGGCCAAGTATTCCATAGTATCGGCTGATCCTGTGTGCCGCGTGTCTGACCCTGAGGTTCCCTTAGGTTGCCTTGCGTTGCCTTTAGCGGGAGCACTGTGCGGAATCTCCCTGGACCCCCTGGACGACGCTGTCGTGCCTCAGTTTTAGTGCGTTTCGTTGACTTATGTAATAATTGTAACCAACATCAGACATCATCAGCTTGAGCGCGTCGCTGAAAGGTATCGCCGATCGCGAACGGATAATTTGATCACCTACCAGATATCGAAATCGCTTCTGATATTTCTTTTCGTTCACGAATCCCATCTGTTCTTCTGCCATGGCGAGTGTTGATGATATTTTCAAGGTTTGTTTACTTCAATCTCCAAGTCCAATACCGTCTAACAAATTCTAGAGCTCAGGCATCTCGGGGAAGCGCAAGCTTGATCCCATCAGAGATCCAAGTAAGTCTCAACTAATTATATTACTCCTTCGTCGCGAACTCTTGCTTACAATCTCTAGATGAAATCTACAAATCAGCAAAGATAAACGTCAACGGCTCGAATCGCCGTGCCCAAGTCAACGATGCGCCAGACGCAGACGAAGACGAAGACATGGAAGCTGGCCCAGCGCCTCCTCCCGCCGACGACGAAGATTTCGGTCCCGACCTACCTCCCGATGACGACGAAGGTCGCTTCTTCGGCGGTGGCATCACAAAACAAGAATCAGAGATCCTTGATTACGTAGACGAAGCCGACGCTGGCCGAGCACCTGAAAAGATCGATGCAGCATGGTTGCGAAAAACGTTGACCAACTTGGAGAGGCACATCAACAAGAACGCCGAGCTTCGCGCCAAGTTCGAAGACCAACCGCAGAAGTTTATCGGCAGTGAGGCTGATCTAGATGCCGACATCAAGGGACTGTCGCTGCTCTCTGAACATCCTGAACTGTACCCAGAGTTCGTCAGGCTAGAGTGCGTAGCCAGTGTTGTCGGTCTCCTGGCGCACGAGAATACTGATATTGCCATCGATGCGATCGAGATTATGGGCGAGTTGACAGACGAAGATGTCGCGGCGGAAGACGAGCAATGGAATGTGCTGGTAGATGCTATGATGGAAGCAGATCTCCTCAGCTTACTGGTTTCCAACTTCTCCCGCCTGAACGAGGATGATGAATCGGATCGTAACGGTGTTTACCATGCCCTAGGACTCATTGAGAACTTGTGCTCCCGACAATCCGTTGCAGAACGCGTAGGAGAGGATGAGAAGCTCCTACAATGGCTCCTCCAACGTATCCAACGAAAGGAAGACACTGTCTCCCAGAATAAGCAATACGCTGCAGAAATCTTGGCCATTCTCGCCCAAATGGCCGTCGCAAACCGCACGAAACTTGTAAACCTCGATGCGGTCGACTTGCTTCTCCAGCTCATCGCCCCCTACCGACGGCGCGATCCTGACAAGGGCGGCGATGAAGAAGAGTACATGGAGAACATATTCGCATCTCTAACATGCCTAGCAGATGATGCTGCGGGAAAGGCAAAATTCGTCGACGCAGAGGGTGTAGAACTCTGTCTTATCATGCTGAAGGAGGGAAAGAAGAGCAAACCACCTGCTCTTCGCCTCCTCAACCACGCTGCAGGCGGTATCGCTGGCGTAGACGTCTGTCAAAAGATTGTCGAGGCTGGTGGTCTCAAGGGTCTCTTCACACTCTTCATGAAGACGCAAGATCATCGATTAGCAGAACATCTCGTTGAGATCTTCGCCTCAATGCTACGCCTCCTACCAGCTAATTCCGCGGAGAGGATACGAACACTAGCCAAGTTTGTGGAAAAGGACTACGAAAAGATCTCTAAACTCATCAAGTTCCGACGAGACTACGTCGCTCGCATTTCACTAGCAGAGCAGCAAAACGACGCTGAGAAAGCGACTACTTCAGAAGATGATCGGGAGGCAGCAGAGCTAGAATGGCTATCCCGGAGAATCGATGCCGGTCTCCTCACGCTACAGACCATCGATACAGTTCTCGCTTGGTTAGTAGCAGAAGACACAGGAGCAGCACGCAAGATCAGACAAATCCTCGCCGAGCGCGACGAAAAGGTCACTGTAATCGGCCATACACTAAAGGAGCAGCTGGACGCTCTAGACACCACGGAGGAGAACCAGGATCTGAGGGACATGTTGAGCACTCTAGTCGAGTTTGTCCAGTAAAAAATAACTTAATAATTCAAGATGTGCGTGCGTTTCCTTTTAGAAAGGGAAAACGCTGGCAGGGCGGGACCACGCAATTTGGTCTTTGTAACACAAATCCTCCTTCGTCTATTTGCTCTCCTCGTGTGTCAAGCTGAAACGCTCGTAATTATAAACATGTGCGGATGCTCCGTCGTTCAGGACTTGCGGGTGGGGACGGCGTTGACGTCGAAGACGGCGCTGAGGAGGTTCTTGATGACCTGAGCTTGTCCCTTCTTGCCAGCCTCCTGGATGCTCTTGATTTGCTTCTCGGCTTCCTGGTTGGCCTCGGCTTCGGCCTTCTCGTTGCCCTTGCTGTGCTGTACAACCATCAGTATTATTCCATCGTTGAGGCAGACCGTATCTCGCGCAGATGGACGATATGTCTTTCGAATAGAAGTATCGTACCTCGGCCTCGAATTTCTTATATTCGTCTTCCTTCTTGCTCTTGTAGTCGGCTATCTCTTGCTTGGCTTCATCGCGAGCTTCTCTGACGCGCTTGGTTCGGTCTATCGTTCAGTGCTATTAGATGGGTGATTCATCGGTTCGTGAGGAAATGGCGCTTACATTCTCGGGCTGGGAAGGGTTGTTAGTTAAGCTATAGACAAGGCGGGGAGATGAGAGTGTAGCGCACCTTTCTGGACAATCTTGGAAGCATCTTGCTCAGCCTGGCATCACAGATTAGTTTTCCATTCGATGACAGTAGAAGCGCTCGATGCAGCATACGTTGAGCAGCTGTTGAATACCAGCTGAGTTCTGGGCAGACTACGAATCATTAGCCATCATCGTGCATCCTATTCGCGAAGCATCCAACCATGGTGTCGAAGTATCAAGCGTGACAACAAAGCGATTGATACGATGGGGGTGAGTATAGTATTGTCAGGTTCGAGGGCTGTTGGTGATGGCGTCGTTGTTGATGGGAGTTGATGTTGCGAATGGTTGCATACAAGCACTTGATGGAGGATTACGTCGGGTGCTGAGCTCAGGCAGCTGATTCGCAGGTACCGCTAGGTAAGGTACGTTACTTGTTTGGGGGGGAGCTACAGCGCTTAGCGCGTGTGGGAACCGCCAGAGACGCTGTGCGCTTGAAACGTCATGGGCTGACAAAGTCCCTTCTTTTGCGACTTGATCATAATCTTTCACAGGAGATATTATACTCGAATTGTCTTTATTCGGGTCAATTGGCCTATACCAAACCGATCAATCTCTCCAGCGATCGATAAACCCACCGTTTCCGACCCCGAAGAAGACCTTGAGCGCACCATGTCTCGAGCATCAAAGCTCACCCTACTGGGTACATCGCTCCTCACAGTCACCACAGTCGTCGCCGTACACTTCCAGCAAAAGTTTGAACAAGCCGTACGCTTCCCACTTCCCAATTGATCCCCAAGATCCCCGAACTAACCATGACCGTAGGCCATGCACGAGGGCGTCGTTCGAGATATGGAACAGCAGCGAATCAAGCGAGAAAGACAATTGGACTTTGACTTGCAGAAGCAACTCGAAGCGGAATACAAGCGCGAACAAACAGTGCACGACTCGATAGAAGCGGCGGAGAAGAGTCTACCGAATCGATAACACCAAGTGCGAAGGGAAAAGTGAATTGGAAAAAGTGTAACATCAGCATACTCCTCTCTAGCGACTACGGCGCCATTAAAGATTTTTTGTTGCATCAATGCATTTCGTTGTTTTTTGCTATGTTTCCTAACGAATTGGCTATTTTATACATGATGAACCTCCCCAAAACATTACAAAGCTCAGGCAAGCTGATCCTGTCTTGCAGCGCTGCCAATGCTTTCCCTCTCCAATATTTTATGCATCGTCAATTTTTTTTCGTTAGCAATCTAAATTATCGGTTTGAAACTCCGGATCTGTTGGTAAACATTCTTGCGGCGATGTTCATGGCCTGCAGCTCCTGGAAGAGCAGCTTGGCAGCGTAGGGAATATGAATTTGCGCAATCTTGGTCTTGTTCTTGCAAGGTCGGCATTCGAATGACTGTTTGGAAAGGTTCCTGGAACATGTTAGCTCTTATTCATGAGTATTTATGGGAGAAAACTTACGCAATTGGCGTCATGAGTCCACAAATCTCGCAGACGTGGACACGGAAAGCATCCGACACCTCAAACAGACGCTCCTTCAGGAAAGCAGCGGCACCGTGAGCAATCATACAATCACGTTCCATCTCTCCGAATCGGAGACCACCATCACGAGCACGACCCTCGACAGGTTGTCGGGTCATGATCTGAACTGGACCACGAGCACGAGCGTGAATCTTGTCGTCCACCATGTGACGAAGACGCTGGTAGTAGGTAGGTCCGAAGAACACCTGGGCACGGAGCTTTCGTCCAGTGTGACCATTGTACATGACCTCGAAACCTCGAGATTGGTAACCGTGCTTCCTCAGAAGTTCTGAGACTGAATCGACTGTGACATCAGTGAACGGTGTAGCGTCACCCTCCATACCTTCCAGCGTTGAAACCTTGCTAAGAAGACACTCAATCAAATGGGCAATTGTCATTCGCGACGGAATGGCGTGAGGGTTGATAATGATATCGGGAGTAAGACCTTCTCGGCTGAAAGGCATATCCTCCTGTCGATATGTAACACCGATTGTACCCTTTTGACCGTGACGAGAAGCAAACTTGTCACCAATTTGAGGAATCTTGGTGGTTCGTACTCGGACCTTGACGTACTTGACGTTATCGGCGTTGACCGTCAGAATGACTTGATCAACGATACCGTTCTCAGTACTTCGCAGTGGTGTCGAGATATCACGACGTTGATGCGATTGAGTTCTTGTGCCAAGGTCCTGGTTTTCTTGGTCGATGGGTGCAGTCTTGCCGATAATGATATCTTCACCTGACACACGGACACCAGGAGCCACGATACCATCCTCATCAAGCTTATCGTATGTTCCATGCTTCATGCGAAGCGTTGTCTGCTGGAAAGGCTTCTCAAAAATCTCAGTGTAGTTGAGACCAACCTTCTTCTCTTGATCTGAGTACGATCGGAAGAACAGACTTCGGAACAGACCTCGATCAATACTACTCTGGTTCATAATGACGGAATCTTCCTGGTTATAACCTGAGTAGCAGGCAATTGCGACAATGGCATTTTGACCAGCTGGCAATTCACGGAACTTGAGGAACTCCATGGATCGGGTAGTGGCGAGAGGCTTTTGAGGGTAGTAAAGAATGTTGGCCATGGTGTCCATGCGGCGAGAGTAATTTGTCAAGAAGAAACCCATGGCTTGTTTACCCATAGCAGATTGGTAGGTGTTACGAGGAGACTGTTACTGTGAGTTGAGTCCATGCATGGTCGAAGGGGCTACATACCTGGTTGTGATCGGGGAAAGGAATGATACTGGCACAGATACCGAGAATCATGCTGGGGTGAATCTCACAATGTGTGTACATGTGAGTTGTGGGGTTGACCTTTGTCTTCAATCGCTTGTTGCGGTCCTCCTCTTGTTCCCTTTTCTCTGCCTCTGCCTTGGCCCGTTTCTCCTCTTCCGTGAGTGTAGCTTCATCATTCTTTTGCTCGCGGTAAAGCTCGAGATCCTCTGGTGTCATGCAAATCATGGCTGTCTCTTCTTCCTCAGCGTCGAGATACTCGACAGCGCCTTCGCGAATCAAGCCATCCCATCCAAACTTGTCTGCGGGGTTGGCAGGTGGCTCTGCCTGCTCCTGGGCAAGCCTATTTACATGTTCTTTTGTCAACACTAGTTGTCCCTTGGTGATGTTGTTCTCATAGTCATCCTCTTGGTGAACTGTGAAAACAGGTCTCATGACACGGCCAGCGTCTGAGAAAATCTTGAATTCACGGTCTCGAATATCACGAACAAGTGATACTTCGAACTGAACATACGACTTTCGTCTTGTGTCCAAAACCTGATTCACGAGATGCTTGGGGTCGGCGTGAACACCAACCCAGCTGCCGTTGACGAAAATCTTGGTAGCATGGGGATATCTTGTCGGCTCGTACTCCTCAACGACTTCCATACCTCTGTTGATCATGAATTCAATGAGAGGATCGGCTGGGGAGCCGACACTAACATAACACATCAGAGACAAGTTTTTGACGAGACCACAAGCTTGACCCTCAGGCGTTTCGGCGGGACACACCAAACCCCAATGAGTATTGTGAAGCTGTCGAGGCTTGGCCAATTTACCATCTCGTCCAATGGGAGTATTGGTTCGGCGCAAATGTGAAAGAGTAGAAGCAAAGGTGTATCTGTTCAACACCTGAGAGACACCAGCTGTTGAGCTTGCTGCTTTCTTCTGATCACCCCAGTTACCAGTGGCCAAAGAGTACTTGAGGCCGTTGGAAAGCGTTGATGGCTTGATAGCGACAGTCAGGTTGAAGTTTCGGTTGCTTTCAACACATCGCTTGAGGTAGTTGGAGAGCTCAGTGTTTATCCTTCGAATGATACCACGGAAGAGCTTCGCCAGCAGAGGACCAGCCAGATCAAGTCGCTTCTTGCCAAAGTGATCACGATCATCGGGCTCACGACGTCCAAGAGCACATTGCAGAAGCTTGTGCACCATATAACCCAAAAAGAAGGCCTTACGTGTCTCACTACCCTCTGACTGGGAGATGTGAGGAAGGGTCTCTTTTTGGAGAATATCCTTTGCAACTCGAACACGCTTCTCACGACCGAGACTAGCCTGGTCTCTGTTTCCACGCTTTCCGATAAAGTCAAGAGCAACTTCTCGGTCCTGGACACAGAAAGCCTCCTCAATACAAGGGCGAAGCATTTCCAGCATCTGGCTATCGTTGCGGTCGTAGCAAATGTGGTTCAAAATATCCTCATCAGACACAACACCAAGAGCTCGGAAGACGATGGCGACGGGGAGATCTGCCTTGACGAAAGGCAAAGTAGCCTGGATAGTCTGGCCAAAGCCACCGCGCGCAGAATCTCCCTTGCCGTAGAGCTTCATCGTAAGACTCGAGATAAGACGGGAACCCTTCTCAAGAGCAC